CTCGTCGGATTTTAAATCCGTTGGGCTTGTACATGGGTGCGATTTGTTTCCGTTTTTTGGCCTCTAAGTGGTGCCCCAGTGCTAAGAAGTATGATTTGTTGCCGTTGGTTTGGCCTCGCAGCGGTGCCCGGTGCTAGGAAGTGCGAGTTGTCGCCGATGTCTTTCGCATCCAAGCAGTGCCCCAGTGCTAAGATCGGGGCTGGCGCCGTGCCCCACTCATTCCCTCATTCCCTGCTAAAGGCCGCCCAGATAATGGGGCCCTAGTATAATCCTTATAGTCACCATTACAGGGTGGGGGCCCTTCTAGACGATGACTTTTACCGGAGTTTGGGTAAGGGTTTTTCAGCTGTAAGCTTTGTATTGCCAAAGCCTTCGAAACGAGCATCCATTCCTGACAACTGTCTTCTGAGATGAGAAGGAAAATTGGGGTGCCATGAAATTTTCGGAAAGGGTATATAAACCTGCCTAAACCCTAAAGCCAAAACCCTTTAGCGATGGGGGCACTTTTGTCACTCGGTGAAACTGCCGAGGACTACGCGATAGCCTCCTGGCTTTAAATGGCATAGGAGACTTTGAATAGTTCATGGGCTTGAGGCTTTGGCCAAAATATCGGAGCAGTGGTGTTTGGGGTCTGGGCGTTTCGGGGTTTGGTCTTTTGGGGCTCATTTCACAGTTCAGGCGTTCAGTGTTCGGAGGTTCAGTCAGGACTTGAGAATAAACACTGTTGATCCTCTACCCTCTACACCGCCTAAATTTGTTCGAATGGCGCAGTTTTTTGATTATCGAGATTTTTGCTGCTGCGGCTCCAGCAGCTTCTGCTACTGCTGCTGGTGCGTATCTCTACTAGTGCGGTTACGGTTTTTGTGGTTATCCTTATTCCTGGTTGGCGAGAACTTCCTTTAATGAGATTTAGATCCTACAGTTCGTGGTGTTCACGGCTTTCTTTTCCACTCTTTCTTGAGGTGAGTGATGCTCCGGTACTGCACTACTACATGTACCGGGTGCAGAATGATGAAGCATCGGCCCCAGACATTGCTGTATCATTGGGACCCTAAGGGGGGTAGGGGGGAGGGGGGTAGGGGGCCTTAATACCAATAATAAGGAATTAAGAAGGCCTATTTAAGGAAGTATAGTCCCCTACCCCCCTCTGACTGAATTTTGTTCATTGGATAGGTCTTTGGGGGTCTGGTTTCGGGGAGTCAGAGCTGCCCTATTCAGTGCAGGATGCTTCCTTGGCTGTCTTACAGTTTTAGGGTTCCGGGGTCCCTTTAGAGGGTGCTATAAGGGTTCCACTAAGGGTCATCGTACTCGCCTTCGAAGTTGTCCTGCAAAGTACCCCCGATCAGTCGCTCCCGCCTGAGTTTCGATCAATTCCTCTGCAGTGCCGGACTGAGGATTATTCGCCAGAGAACCAGAACATGGCGAATATTCCTGGGGCACTCTGGTGCCTTGCTGGCACTACCATGCTCGGCCGAGAAGAGTCGTCGTCAGTGTCGTCAGAAAAGTCCCTCCCCTCCGAGCCCTTCAGGCTGTGGGAGTAGGCCACGCTTCTTACAGTCATGGCTCGTCTTTCGATGCCCAAGGCTGACGTCAATCTCTCTAAGATTATGAGAGCTAACCATGGGGTGTGTCTTGTCTTTTTCATTGTGCAAGACATGTGGTCCTTGTTATGCGGGCACACCGAGGTATCTGCACAACGCCGCTCAGCAGCAGCGATATCGCTCCCTAAACCAGACACCTCAAGCCAAAGGCCTGAAGCCTGTCCCCAAAACCCTAGAAAACCTTAGACCAGCTTTGGCCCGATAGCTTGATGCAAGGCCAAACCCTAAACCCTAAACCTCTAAACCCTAAACCCTAAACCGTTTTCGGTCCTGGCAGTGCAGGGTTTTGGGTTCAGAGTTTTGGGGCTTGGCCTTTTGGGGTTTGGGGGGAGGTTGGGGGAGTTTTCAGGTCTCCAAACAAAGGCTCCCCGAGAAATCGGGCTAAGGCTTAAGAAGACGGGGATTGCAAAGCAAGAATGTACATGGGAGTGACCGAACAGTCGGAGTATTTCGTTGGAGTCTCTGGGAATAAACCCCAAAACCCTAAATGGGACTTTCCGAAGATTAGGGGTACCTTATTTGGGCTCCTTATCATCAGGATCCTCCTATTTAGGGTGCTATATTAGGGTCCCCTACTTTCGGGAACTCCCACACGAATGTTATTCCTGACGGTTCCCTGACAGTTCCCTGATAAGTTTACAGTGCAAAGGCCCAAACCTCAATATACACCCCAAGCCCCAGGTTCTAAACCCTAAATCCCAAACCCTAAACGCGAGATCCTAACTAAACCCTAAACCGCAGCCCCTAAACCCGAGACCCTAACTAAACCATATATCCCAAACCCTAAACCCGAGACCCTAACTAACCCTAAATACCCAACCTTAAACCCTCGACCCTACCTAAACCCTACATCCCAAACCCTACGCCCTGGACCCTAAGCCCTACTTGGAGGATCATGGGACCTAGTAAGTAGGGTTATAAGTACCTTAATTGAGGTTATAAGTATAGTTGCCCGAATTATAACCCTAGTTACAAAGCCCCATTTTTCCTTTAAGTAGACCCTATTGGGCTCCGGATTGCGGGTTGAAGCGAACTGCCGCGCTTGAAGCCCAGGAGATCGTTTGGCACCACTGGCTCAGGCTCCCCGGACTCCCAAAGCTCTAATACAGGGGCCTACATATTTACCGACATTATTTCGGGGGTTCCTTGTTATGGTTATAGTATCATATGCCCCACAACCCAGTTCGAATCCTCCAATACAACTGCGGCTTACTAGGATTTGGATTTGGGTTCAGGGTCTACGGCTGCTCTGGGCCTGTCCAGCTGCGGTGTACTTCACTTCAGGTTTTCGTTTTCGGGTTTTAGGGTTTTGAAGCTTTTAGGGGTTTTCGTTTTCGGGTTTTAGGGTTTTAGGGTTTTTAGGGTTTTCGTTTTCGGGTGTTAGGGTTTGAGGGTTTTGGGGGTTTTGGTTTTCGGGTTTTGGGGTTTTTAGGGTTTTCGGGTTGGAGCTTTTTGGGTTTTGGGTTTCGGGTTTTAGGCTTTCGTGGAGAACAGTCCCTAATCCAGCGACCCAAAGCCCTACTTAAAGGATCATGGGACTTAGTAATTAGGGTTATAATTAGGGGAACTATACTTATAACCCCAATTAAGGTACTTATAACTTTCTTTACTAAGTCCCATGATCCTCCAAGTAGACCCTGAAATCTCGAGCTTTTGCCAGGGCCGGCACCTTTGCCTCCACGCCGAAGAGTCGCCCCTCGTGTGCAATCCACAGCCCCGAGGGTTCGGCGTTGAAGGTTTGGGGCAAGTTTAGGGTTGAGGGTTTTGGGCTCCAGGGTTTTGGGTTTAGCAAGGAATCGAAAAGGTTTCTATATTTTCCGAGAGAGGTTCGAAAATTGCCTGCAGGGTTTAGTTGGGGCTCTTAGGCTTTGTATCGGGGTCCTTGAGTTTCGATCGACTCGTTTTTGACCGGGCTCCTCTTGACACCGGTTGTGGCCTGGGTTGGACTGGGTTCAGTGGGCCAGGTCAGCTTATCAAGGCGGTATAGTGTCGAAAGCCGCTTTACCTCCAGAATCAATGTAGGGGTCTTAATAACTAGCTATAATCAGCAGCACCGAAATTGCACTATTTTTTGGGCCCCGACATTACGCCGCCACGTTGCGAAAGCCAGACGAAGAAACCAAGATCCCAGATAAAACGCAGCAAGAGCCGATAGCTAGCCGGGGTACACTGGTAGCAGTGGCAACGTTAGGCCTGAAAAACCACATGCCGAGCCGTTGGCCCCAGGTCAAAAAATTTTAAACCCTGATCCTAAGCTCTCCACAGATGTTAACCTCTTCTTAGGGGTACTTAGAAATAGTTTTTAATTTTTGGTTATTATAATCCCTAAGAAACAGCTAACATTGTAATTTTTGCTAGGGTTCTAAGTTCAGTATAGTCTTATAGAAACCTGAAAGAGGACCCTGATTTAAAGGAACTCTTTCCGGAATCCTTCAAGGAAGCCTTCAAACTGTTGCTAGCCAGCCACAAATGGGTGGTTGTCAAAATTAGGGTCCCTTTTTTGGGTACCCGAAATATCAGGTGCCGTACTATATTAGGGATCCCAAAAGGGACAGAAAAAATCCCAAATAGACAAGGCATCGAGCGCTTCTTGGTCTTCAGCCGGGCAACGCAGAGCCTCTACAAGAAAGGCAGAACCTCCGCTGGGTTTAGGGGTTTAGGGTTTAGGGGTTGAGGGTTTAGGGGTTGAGGGTTTAGGGGTTTAGGGTTTAAGGGCTCGGGGCGTCGGGTGTAGGGTTTAAAGTTCAGGGGTTGTAACGCTAACTTCGGAGAAGGGCAGCATCAGCTATTCGGTTTAGCCTTAGATTTTGGTCTAAGGATGTGGGGTGTAGGTCAGGGCTTTGATCGTTGATGACTTTTTAAAAGGTTTGCGGTTCTTCTAGGCCGGGTTGCTTGCAGGAATCTGTCGAGCTGTTCTTCGGCGGCCTTGTAGGGACCTGATGCAAAGCTTGTGCAGCCCCACGAGATGTGTTTCCTTGTGCATCGATTTGAGCCCCAAGCCCCAAAGCCCTGAGCCAGAAAGCTTTAAACCCAAAGCCTAAACTTATGATTTAGGGTTTAGGGTTTCGGTTTGTTAGGGTAACCGGGTAACCCAAAACCTAAACCCCACACCCCAGCCCCTGAACGCCAAAGCCCGAACACCCCAGACTCTCAAGCCCAAAACCGCCCTCCCAGGTCTTTTTCGATAAGCATGGGCAAACATTACCCAAGCCCTGAACCTCGAGCCTCCCTTAGCTCAAAGGGGGGAAAAGGAGGGACCCTTAATGGGGACCCCTACCCTGTAATGGGCTATACAATGGGTATATACTAGCTGTATTAAGGGTATATATTTAGGGGTCCTTCTTAAGGGTCCCTCCTAAACCCTAAACCGTCCCTCCTTTTCCCCTTTGATTCGCAGGTATGAACTTCGGGGCTGCGACCTCAGCTGCAAGTTCCTCCAAGGGGGTTTAGGGTTTAGGGTGTTTAGCCCCGCAAACGCGAAGCCTTATCGCATCTGTTCTATCTCTACACACGTTGTAACCACATGTATAAACACATTCATACGTATACTCAGATATCGATTTATAGTTATAGATACAGATACATGCATATATATATATATACATGTATATGTGTACATACTATTGTTTTGTATGTATATTATGCATATTACACATATACTCTTGGAGGCCTCCAGACCCCTAAAGCCCCGATGCCCGCAGATCCTAACCACAGCGGCGACCCCTGAAACCTCAATCCCAGCCCCGCCAAAAGATTTCATGTCAGCATCCTAGAGGAAAGGAGAAGCTGTGACATCACCAAGTACACCCCAAAGCCCATGCCCGTAAAGTCTAAACCCTTCCAACACCCCGGCGTAAACCCGAAAAAGTTAAAGACGACACAGCGCACAGCAAGAAGACACTCGAGTACTAGAAGAGGACCACATGCCCGAGCCACTCCACCTAAACCCCACTCTTTAAGCTCCTAGACATTTTAGCCCAAATCCTAAGCTCTGGTGTTGAACGCTTCCCAAGCCTTAGGTCGTCAACACCTACGACCTGGGAAAGTGCACCGGACCTTTCGACTGTCCGGCGCCCGATGGGATTGTGGGGAGGGTGAGGATGGGGCATGGTGGTGTAGCCCTAAACCCTGAACCTAAGTCACCTAGCATAGGGTTTTGGTGGAATATGTGAAAATTCGGGAAAGAGCGATTGGAAGGGGGGTGTTGCTAGTTTATACTGCGGGGATTAGAGGGCCTCCAGGGTCTACCTCCTGCTGTTTGCTGCTTCTTAAGGCTTCTGATCTACCATCGGCTTACGATTATTAATTACTAGTTGTTATGGTTATTGTGATTATTACTATTACTACTACTACTACTACTACTACTACTACTACTACTACTACTACTACTACTACTACTACTACTACTACTACTACTACGACTACGACTACGACTACGACTACGACTACGACGACTACTACTACTACTACTACTACTACTACTACTACTACTGCTGCTACCAATATGTCATTCAGATCGCGATGATAGCCAGTCTTAGGGACGGTGGGGGTCGGTGTGCTCAGGCGAGAACTTGCAGCACTACGGCCCGGTGGTTGGATGCGCAGCTTGGTCGGGACCAGGGCTTTAGGGTTTGGTTTCAGGGGTTTAGGGCTTTAGGGTCTAGGGTTTAGAGATTTGGGTTTAGGTTCCAGGGGGGTTTAGGGTTTGGGGTTGAGCCCCCCTCATCTCCGCCACTATCAGTCGACAGCATGCTTTTCTTGTCCAGTTCTTGGTGGGGGTTACTGTGGCAGCCTAAATAATTACCAATACTATTCTGGGGGGGTCCTTATTGTAATTATGGTATAATGGGCCCCGGATACATGTTACTTATCTAGCTGTTTTGTGAGCACCTGCAAGAGCCGGGTGCTGATCTTTTGGGCGCATCAGAAGTTTTTCTGATGCTCAGACACATTGCAAGGACCGCCGAAGCAGGCCGCATCCGCCCCAAAACCCTAGTCTAATTATTCAGGCCCCTGTATTATAGAGCCCTGCTATAGATCCCTTACACTAACCCTTATAGACCCCTTTAAAGGAACCCTATTCGTATTAGCAAGGCCCCTACATTACACTCTGACAGCTGAGGAAACCTGGGATCCGGACCAGGACAACAACTTCCCTCATGGACAGTGGGTGGGCAAGAATCTCTACCCCAATGCCGGCTGCCTAGATGAGGGTTGGGGTTTCGAGGATATGGCAGTTTCGGAAAATTAGGGGTACCTTATTTTGGGGTCCTTATAGTAAGGGTCCTACTATTTGGGGTTCAAACTCCCATATAGGCTTTTCGCTTTAGGAGTTGTGGGGTTTAGGGGTGTAAGGTTTAGGGCTTTGCGGTTTAGGATTCGGGGAATCTCTATCCCAATGCAAGTAGCACCGTAATGCAATGGTCGAGCGGACTGGCAGAGCTTGCTGCGAATCCACTGGTCATGTTCAGCACAATACTTTCAACAAGGTTGTTTGGGGAACAACGTCGTCTTGGGCTGCCTTCAAGCCGTTTTTTCGTTTCACATGTTCGATAGTTCCGCCTTCTCGCGGCAGGTAGCGAAGACCAAATAATAATTTCAAAGCCCAACGCACGCAGCTACAGACCACTGTGCTGAGGCCAAGCCTGTAAAACAAATCATGAAGCCAAGCTCTCTGGGCATTGCCACGTAGGGTAGCTGTCCTGCTGTTCTCCCAGGCGTCTTGGTATAGCCTTCCGGGAAAGCTCCTTGCCTGAAATGCAGATTTCTGCTGCTTCGGGTTTGAAGCTTATGAAGCTTAGGGTTTTGGGGGCTTAGTTTGTGGAGTTAGGGTTTCCCAAACTTAAATCACATTAAACCCTCAATGCAAATTCATTGTCGTTGTAGCACAGTGAATGCATTCTACGAGCAGCGAAGAGCTCCGTACGGAAGATGTGGTTGAGGGCTTTAGGGTGCTAGCGTTTCTGGGTTTAGGGTTTCGGCAGGTTGTAGGTGTCGTACTCCGCGTTTTTTTTGTGCTGCAGGCTTAGCACAGGACACCTCTGCATTGGTGCGTGCGTGTGCGTGTGCGTGCGCGTGTGTGCGTGTGTGCGTGTGTGCGTGTGTGCGTGTGTGCGTGTGTGCGTGTGTGCGTGTGTGCGTGTGTGCGTGTGTGCGTGTGTGCGTGTGTTCGTGTGTGCGTGTGTGCGTGTGTGCGTGTGTGCGTGTGTGCGTGTGTGCGTGTGTGCGTGTGTGCGTGTGTGCGTGTGTGCGTGTGTGCGTGTGTGCGTGTGTGCCTGTGTGCGTGTGTGCGTGTGTGCGTGTGTGCGTGTGTGCGTGTGTGCGTGTGTGTGCGTGTGTGTGTGTGTGTGTGTCTGTCTGTGTGTGTGTGCGCGCGTGTGTGTGTGTGTGTGTGTGTGTGTGTGTGTCTCTGTGTGTGTGTGTGTGTGTGTGCGCGCAGGCTTTTGGGAGTTTGTTCAGCGGCAGCACGAGTCTGCAAATGAACCGTGTCTTAGCCAAGAGGGATACCAGCTGCAATTATATCAACACAAAAAGCCAGTTAAGAGGGATAAACATACCCTGACTGACCTTACTGAACCCTCAAAACGAATACCCGCCAAAGCGTGACCCCAAAACTCAACCATTTTGAGAGCTTGTTGCGAGCGCAGGTGCAGCTCAAAAAAGTTCTGGGATCAGCAGGGCGAGTGCACGCAGACGGAGCCCGGTGGAGCGTGCCGTGGGTGCACTTAGACGGATGCTGAGGGCTTATAGGCTTTACGGTTGGGGTATTTTTGGGTCTCGTGTTCAAACACAGTCTAGGGTTTTGTTTCGCTACATCTGAGCCGGCTGTTATCTTTCTGGGAAGAATCAAGCCCAGAACCTCAATTTATGAGGCCCTTCCCCCCCCGCTCGAGCTAACAAGTTCTGAGCTTGCGCTAAGCACGTCTTACAATCTTGTCCTACAAACCCCAAACCGCGGAACTTCTAAACCCTAAAACCCTAGACCCTAGACCCTAAACCCTAAACCCTGTAAGCCCTAAACCCTAAACCCTGCAAGCCCTAAAACCTACAGCTTAAACCCTGAGCCGAAAGCCGAGAGCGCATCCAGGTCTTTTAGGGATCTTGCGTATGGGTAGTTCTCTAGGGTCCCTTCTTAGGTCCCCGGCACCCTTATTGAGAGAGTGTGAAAAGAACCCAAAACGGGACCCTGCTTTAGAGAAATATCCGTATAGTTTAGGGTTTACCTCTAAACCCTAAACCCAGAACCCTGAACCCCAAACCCCAAACTCTAAACCCCTAAGAAAGAGCTCATCCTCTCAGGTGTCCGCTTGGCATCGTCCCCACAGGCTGGCTTTGAACGGTTCAGGTGTTTTATTTGGGTGGTTGTCAAAATTAGGGTCCCTTTTTTGAGAGACCATAATTTTGACAACCACCCATGTAGTGTTTCTGGAGTTGGCACGTGTTTGCTAAGGGTCCTTTGAGGGCCTTTATGATGGTCGAGGTGGTTGTGGTTTCGAGGGTTTCTGGGTTTAAGCTCCGGGGGTTTCGGGATTTCCGGACTTTAGGGGGTTAGGGTTCGAATCCTCAACTTCAAAGCGCTAAGATCCTCGAGGTTCAGGACTCAGATTCGTGGTTTTCGACCTTACCCTCAACCCTGAAAACCCAAAACCCAAAACCCTAAGCCTCAACCCTGGCTCAAGTGTTCAAAACTTCACCCTGGGGCTTGCCCCGAGTTGTGGGACCCGGGAGCCCGAACCGTGCAGACCTGTTATCAAGCCTCCCGGACTGGTGCCCTGAACACAAGCTGGTTCAGGGATGAGGGTTTTGGGGGTTTAGGGTTTAGGGTTTAGGGTTTAGGGATGAGGGTTTTGGGGTTTAGGGTGTAGGGTTTTAAGTCCGAAATTATTTTAAGCTATATACTTGTTTGAGGATATCGATCAAACTAAGAGGCCGATGCCCTATAGAACCCTTACTTATCGAGCCCTGTACGGGAACCCGAAAAGGAACCCCAAACCCAAACCCTAAATGCTCACCCATACCTGAAACCCTACACCTATACCAACCTATATGCTAAACCCCTAAACCCTCAAATGCTAACACCTAAAAAGTTGCGGGGCTGTTTAGGACCTAGGATTCCGGAAGGAGTCTTGAGTTGTCAGCCCCACTACTTTCAGTAGCGAAGTTGAAGGTCTAGGTTTTACGGGTTTAGGGGTTGCAGGGGTTAGGGCCAGGGCTCTCATGACTGTCGCGCGCTTTCATCTGCTAGGCTCACATTCCTGCACCTACACCTACCAGAAAGTGGGCGAGCTCCGCATCAGCAACCTGGGCGCACTTCAAGAGCCGCAGAGACGGACGGCAAACGCCATGCTGTCATAACATCTCACCGCAGTTTCCAAGCAACACTACACTTCCTACGACTTGCGGCAAACTATACTATATTGCTGTGATGTGGAGTTGTGCAGAACGGAATGACAGCTAGAAAGTTGAAGAAGAGACATCGACAAAGACAGTGGTAGATAAAACTCAAGCCCTAACATGACACATTTAGATATGATATGAGTATACTGTGGTATGATAATACCGTCCATTAGTCATGTAAACATACGTCTTTTTGGTCCGGGTACCATGCTATCACCACGTGTCCAGTTCTGCATGCAGGAAGAACCCACGTGTGTATTCGGCCCCTCAGCCACAATACTGAGAATATAATGGCGTAGAAGCATCGTACATGAATGGCGTCGCTTAGACGGTAGCACGACAGTACAAGACAATGCTGCCTGCTTGTAGATAGGTTGCAACGGCTCTGCATACTAGACATGTAGGAGCATGATCTAGTAGGACAGTAGTACAACAGCAGAACAAGAGCACGAGAAAGACCATATGGATAAAATCCAGTCGGTAGCCCTACAGTGCAGGAGTAGGATGACATAATAAAGGCAGCATAGGGGGAGGTGAAAGAGAGAGCCGAGTCGGAAGACAAACATACACTAGGTGGCAATTTGGGAAACTTTTTAATTTCCCTTATGGTCCCCATAGAGGTACCTATTCATAAATACTTTGCAGAGCCCCAAAACTACAACCCAGTACAGTGGTAGTGCGACAGTGAAGTGATCTTGGAATATGGCAGTGTAAGAATGTAATATCCCCACGAACTGGGTCCTGATCGTAGCATGACATGACAAACCATAGTGCTACAATCTGTGTAGGCGTAAGCACACACCAACGGCAGCAATCACGACGCAGCATGGATCGTGGAAGGCAATGCTGCCACCACTCGAAGAACAAAGTCGTAGCGGTTTGGGGTTTAGGGTGTAGGAACCTGGAGGCACAAGCTAGCAGAACGCAGAGCGATGCAAAGGGATACCACGCAACATAGCTGGAGCAGCGAATGCAGCATCAGGTTTGGCCGGTTTTGGGTACCTGTTACCTTGTCCCGGAATTGGACTTTAAAGGGTTTTTGTGCGGCGCCAACCCTTCAACCTTGAAACCGTATAGCCCTAAAGCCCTAAAGCCCTAAACCCTAAACCCTTCAACCCCTAAACCCCTGAACCCTAAACCCTAAACCCCCAAACCCCTAAGGAGCTCAACAAAACAGAACCTTAAACCCTTAAACCTTTAAACCCCAAACCCTAAACCCCAAACGCTGCGCGGCAGCAAGGCGAGATTGAAAACATCAGCAGCTTCGAGCACCTGATCGAAGGTCAGGAGTGTCCGAGAGCCCAATACCCCTTAATAAAGCAATAGGGTTTAGGGTTTAGGGTTTAGGGTTTAGGCCTTAGTGGGTTTAGGGTTTAGGGTTACGGGTTTAGGGTTTAGGGTTTAGGGGTTTAGGGTTTAGGGGTTTAGGGTTTAGGGTTTAGAGTATGGGTTTTGAGGGGTTCTTTAAGGGTTCTATAAGGGCTACTACAAGGGATCTATAAGTGTATAAGGGTACTATAACATAGGAGCTCTGGGTTTGGGGGTATATAATTCCTAAAACTGTAATAAGGAACCCCTTAAAATCTCGTTCTACTTAGACTTGTTAAGGCCCCTACATTGAATCCCAAACCCGAGACCCGAAAGGCTGGAGCCCTGAACGCTACTCCCATATCTAAGCCCTAAACGTGCCTAAACCTCAATCTGTTTTTCACAAATGCGAAGCCGAATTTCGACATCCTGCATCCCAAGCTCGACGTTGAATGCCCTGAGCCCTGACATCGACGTCCGAAGCCCTAAATCTTTCCCCCAAGTCTAAAACGGTATTCTTGAGCTCTAAACCCTGAGCTCTAAATCAACACATCTTCGGGTTCCGAGGATTTGGCTCAAACACGGTACGAGACACGTACCTATCATCCAACCAACCAGCCGGCTAAACGCCACCCCTCCCAAGCCTATAGGAAGATTGTAACCGCCCCCGGGACCACCGAAAGCCAAAAATGGAACCAGCGGTAAACGATCAGAATGCGCCTTCTGACCGTTCACCGCTGACTTTGGGGTCCATTTTTGGTTCGATAGGAAACCTACATTTTTCCAGAACTTTGGGCCGATTGTGGGGGTTGGTAGGGAGAAAAGCCCAGTAAAGTAAAAGCCAGAAAGTTGGAATATGATTATCCTAAACCCTTTATGGTAAATTATAAGGTATCCTACCCTGAAACCATATTCCAACTTTCTGGAGTTCCCTTTAACGCCTGTCTCCAATGTACCACAAACCCGGTGAAGGAGAGTTCAGAGGATGGGTGGATCAACCCATGGCACACCAAACCTTGCAGTCCTAAACCCTCAAGCCCTAAACCTTACACCCTGACTAAGGCGACCTAGCCAGTACACTTTAAAATAAAATCCTTACACCCTGCTTGCCCCTATTTGCAAGGCGGCGGTCGCGAATATGACCGAGCAACCGACAAAGGTGTTCACGTTCACTTTTGGGCGCCTGTGCTCTCATTTGAAAGCCCAGGCTGTTGATATGGAGTGTAACATTAAACTTTACGCGGGGAGGTTTCAAACTTGATAGCCTTCGTGTTGCACAAATTACCGTAAGCTCTTAGACCCTAAGCCGTAAACTTCGACCGACAGGTTAAATTTTAACGCTAGGCCTTAACCCCTCCACCCTCAACCTGTAGACTTTACAATCATGCGGAAACCATAAAACAGTCGACCTTGGAACAACCCCAATCCCGAAAAGAACCTGGAACCTAAGAACCCAAAAGCTTGGAGGAAGACCACAGCCAAAAGAGAACCTGCAGAACTGACATGCAGAGAGCAAAGGTTGCAAATACTCACACGTTCTGCGGACTTGGTATGGCTGCTACCCTAAACCCTAAACCCCTAAACCCTGAACCTCAGATCTCCCTAGGGTATTGCAGGGTTGGGTTTAGGAGAACGGTGTGAAAGATTAGGTAGCCTACACGCTGGAATTGAGGTGCTTGAAGTCTGACCGAGAGCCTGCTTGTTGAGTCCCTCGTGATCCTTCTTTTTCTTATTGCTGTTACTAGGATTATTGCTGCTATAATAGTAAATGGCAGTGGGTTTAGTGTTATAAGGATACTGATGGGCTACAGCCAGTACGAGTCACCACCACCACCACCACCACCACCACCACCACCACCACCACCACCACCACCACCACCACCACCACCACCACCACCACCAGCACCACCACCACCACCACCAGCCAGCACCACCACCACCACCACCACACCAGCACCACACCAGCACCAGCACCAGCACCACCACCAGCACCACCAGCACCACCAGCACCACCACCAGCACCACCAGCACCACCAGCACCACCACACACCAGCACCCCCAGCACCACCAGCACCACCACACCACCAGCACACCACCAGCCACCACCACCACCACCACCACCACCACCACCACCACCACCACCACCACCACCACCACCACCACTACTACTACTACTACTACTACTACTACTACTAGTACTTACTAGTACTAGTACTAGTACTAGTACTACTACTACTACTACTACTACTACTACTACTACTACTACTACTACTACTACTACTACTACTACTACTACTACTACTACTACTACTACTACTACTTGTACTTTTGTAGTCTTGCATTCTTGTATTCTTATATTATCATTTTTGTGTATTCTTTTCTTCTAAGACTAGTATTCTTCTTAGTCTCAGTCTTAGTCTTAGGCTTAGTCTTAGCTTTAGTTTTAGCCTTAGTCATCTTCTTCGTCTTCTTGTTCCTGTCATTGTTCTTGTTCATATTCTTGTTTTTCTTGTTCTTGTTCTCATTCGTGTTCTGATTCTTGCGCTATTGCTGTTCTTCTTCTTGTTCCTATTGTTATTCTGATGATTCGTTTCATATTCTTGTTCTATCGCGATAATTTCTGTTATTGTTAGTATGAGTATGGGAGTTTCTGAAAACAGGGGACCCTAATATAGCACCCTAAATAGCAGGATCCTTATTACAAGGAGCCCGAAATAAGGTGCCCCTGATTTTCGGAAACTCCCACATAGCTATTGATATTAATACAACTATTACCAGTACCCTCATCATCATCATCATTTTCTTCTTCTTCCTCAGTATTATTGGTGTTGCCATTATTCGGCCTCTTCCTGTTCTTCTTATCACAAGCAAGAGTACTGCTATGATTCTGATGAGCATTATTGCTGTTATTAGTATCAGTGTTGCCAGCATGTTTTCTTATTATTCTTCTTCTTCCTACACCCCAAACCCTAAATCCTACATCCATATCGTTATTATCGTTGTTCTTCTCCTTCTTCCTGTTATTCGCCCGACCTGTCAAGGATGGCATTGACGACGTGGACAAGTGCCAGAGGCGGATTGACGCGGTGAATTTGCTGTTCCAGCGGCCCCTCGGCTCGTCTGCGGGGATGTGGGTTTACGGTGTAGGATTGAAGCATAAGGGTTGAGAATCGAAGGATTAGGGTTTAGGGTTAAGTAGTTCAGCATTAGGGTTTAGGGTGTAGGTGTAGGGTTGTGCAGAACTTGGACTTCGTATCCAGGGTTTCGGGCTGTCGGAATACATGGTCTCCGTACACTCTGCCGGTATGTGTGATATTGGCAAGATTATGCGTGGCCCCTATCCTGCCCCAAGCGTGCTGCTGTGGACGTCCATGTACTTTATCCAACTCTGTTCCATGTCCCATGTAGATGGTTCCTTGGGGGTCCTGTTTATGGCTAGCTATGCCTCAAGCCTCGTCTTGTCTGTTCCATTTCGTGAAGCCTAGGTCCTCTGGCCAGAGCTTTTGTTTTGCCGACTCGGGTTGTGGACTACAGTCTTCAGCGTTTGTGTACTGCTCGCAAGGCACCATGTTGTGTCGTCGTGTACCACATCATAAGACCAGGCACATGCTAGCCTCAAAATTGGGTTTTCAGCGAGGACGTGAAGTCTGCATTGTACCATGCCACACTTAAAGTGCTTCTTCATCTTCTGATGCGATGTTGTCAAGAGTTGGGTGCCAGTACACGGTGTTCTGCCGTCAGCTATTTTGGCTGGCAGTGTTATCTTTGCCTGCAACCTGTGCATCATCGTGTGCCAGCGTGGTCGTCTAAGATCTTAGATGTACTGTACATCATGCCAGCTTAACGATCTGGTTTCATGGTCAGTTTCACGCTTGTTGCAAGACATCTTGTCAGGTATTACGCTGGAACTCTTGCAAGAGTAACACGTGTTGCTATGCATTGTGAACATGTTGATTTCCCTTCTTACCTTTATCCTCTTACCCTTTTGAACTTCTTTACTTGGGCACACCTTTTTCTCAAGCTTGCCTCGTCTCACCACACCTTTAATGGACTTGCATTGGCCTGATCGACACGAGACGTGCTGTGCTGAGGTTTATGGTTAGGCAGCACTCAGCACGGTCATAACCAAGTGGCGCTACTGCATAAACATGGGCTGTTGACAGGTCTTCACTCTGCCCTTCTGCACGCTTCCTCCTACTCTTGCACTCTAAGCCTCAACTCCCAAAGCCGAAAACCGAAAGCCGATAACTGGAACTCGTACGCCAAGCCCTTGTGTCATCCCTCATCCGAAACCCTAACCCTGAAGCTCGTCAGAATTCACAGAAAGCCTCACACGGCGGTTGCGACACCCTTAGCCCTGTAGCCTGGCAAGCTTGGAGCTGCCCTGGAGCAAGCTGCAGCTGAGGAAATACCCCGAGCAGCCGATTCTGACGGATCCAGATTCTAGTCTGAGTTTTGCCATCTTTGTTGTTTGTATTGCTCTTATCAATTGTTGTTGGACCAGAAGTGTTATTGGTGCCGCTGCTGCCACCCCCGCTGCTTCCTCCGCCGCCATGCTGCTGCTGCTGCTGCTGCTGCTGCTGCTGCTGCTGCTGCTGCTGCTGCTGCTGCTGCTGCTGCTATTGTGGTTCTTGGTCGTTGGTTGTTCTCGATGGGTTTTGGGTTGTTGGTTGTTGGTTGTTGTTGATGGGTTTTGTGTTGTTGGTTGTTTGCTGTTGATGGGTTTTGGGTTGTGGGTTGTAGGTTGTTCTGTTGTTGATGGGCTTTAGGTTGTGGGTTGCGGATTGTTGTTTTTGGCTAGTTTTTGGTTGCCATCGTTGCCGTTGCCGTTCATGGTTGCTGTTGCTACTGCTGCTGCTGCTGCTGTTGGTGTTGGTGTTGGTGTTGCTGTTCTTGCTCTTGTTGTGGTTCTTCTTGTTGTGTTTTGGGCTCGATTGTCTGGGGTTTTGGGCTTTAGGCACTGGGTCGCAGGAATTCCGACAGTTTAGACTTTACAGTTACAGCTGTGAGCATTGTGGCATTACGCCTGGTTCATCACCCATGCGAGATTGTGCCACTGTTCCACGCATGGATATTGAAAAGATTGAGAAAGGCTCCCAAGAGGGTTACCGCTGTACTTAAATAACAGAACCTAAGCCTCAAATCTCAGACAGGACATTTTTCAAGGGGGCCACCTTTCGGACGGATCCGTTTATGGGTCTGGGTCGCCAAGTTGATAGATGCTGAAATTGGCAGTGAACCGCTTGCAGGATTCGTTCCATCCCTTGATATAACCCTAAACCCTAAACCCTAAACCCTAAGCCGCAAAGATAAGCCCAAATCAGTTCCCGCTTGACTTTGTTCGAGTCCTTCCGACCATCCGAGGCATGCGACTTCTCTTTGCGCAAGCTGGGTGCCCAGTGACGCTACTAGGGGTGTAGGGATCAGAGTTTAACTGCACAGAACCGGGGGTCTGAAGGCAAAATCGGTACACCAACAAGCTTGTTTCACAGGAAGAGCTACGATCGCGTTGGTGGCAAGTATCCTCAACCAGAAGCCCCTGAACCCCTAAACTCATTTTTAAAACCCTCCGCCGTACATCTTAAACCCTACACATTCACACCGAACCACTAAACCCTAAACCCAAAGCCCCTAACACCCCTTCAGCTGGTCCCGAGGTTCTATCCCTATTGGCCGATCGGATCTTTCCACACCACCACCCCGGCACCGGGAAGCTGGTCTTAGAGGGTGTTCTTGTTTAGCACAGCTAGGGTTTAGGGTTTGGGGTTCTATAGTTGTTGTGTCTGGTGGCGTTAGAGGGTTGTTTGTCAGGAATTTGAGAGGCTTCTCCAGTGTTTTGTGAGGCTTGGCCGTGGTCAACGAATGTTGTTGTTCGTTGTTGAAGGCCCACACTGAAGACAACCCCAAAGCCTTAAACTCCAATCTGTGCCTTTCACCCAAACCCTAAACTCCAAACCTCCATCCCCAAATCCTAAACCACTGACATGTATTCGTTCTGTGTTCCCGGTTCCCCTCGCAACGATATGCCAGCGTCAACCCCTTCCCTCCCTCTGCCCTTTTGAAACTTGAAACTGTGAGGCACGCGCCGTGTCGCCCCAGCGAGGGGTTACACACACAGACACAGACACAGACACAGACACAGACACAGACACAGACACAGACACACACACACACACACACACACACACACACACACACACACACACACACACACACACACACACACACACACACACACACACACACACACACACACCACACACACACACACACACACACACACACACACACACACACACACACACACACACACACACACACACACACACACACACACACACACACACACACACACACACACACACACACACACACACACACACACACACACACACACACACACACACACACACACACACACACACACACACACACACACACACACACACACACCACACACACACACACACACACACACACACACACACACACACACACACACACACACACACACACTCTCTCTCTCTCTCTCTCTCTCTCTCTCTCTCCCCTTTAAGCTCCTCTGCCGTTGAATGAATGATTTCCAATGGTACCGCTTAAAGTTTCTCATGATTGAATTGGTATACTAGAACACATCCCGAAACCCTGTTAAACAGCCCTGTAAAGCCCAGGAAACTCCTCCAACAGCTCCGAAAACGCTTCCGAGAGCTCCACCAAAGAGGAAACTGAGTGAGGCTGTGCCCATTTTTGGGGAAAGAGCTCCAAGGAACGGGGTTTATGCTCAGAGTGATTTTGTAGGGTTGTGGCGCCATGAGCCTATACATTACGTTCTGGAGGCTCAGCTTTTGGAGTTTGGGGGGTCTGTGGCTGAGGGTGAAGGGTCAAGGGGGTACTCAGGCTTGATCACAAGCAGCTCTAGTTAAAATAAAGACGAGAGGCTTTGTCTCCACCTGTGTTCCTGGTGTTAGTATCGGGACATTGTGTTGGCGTCTATAACGGGCAGACTAGTGGGCATATCAGAAATAGACTTTAATATTGTGTTGAGGTCTTTTCTGCTTGATGCTAACATTCACTGCGTGTGGCATCGTCGTTGTTTGCACGGCTTCTGTGCGACACTTGAAGGTCGTTGCGGTTTGTCTTGTGCTTAACGTACTGCCTGGGCTGCTGTTTGGGTAGTAGTCCTCGTCTTCACCATTGCGGTTCTCACTGTGCCAGCGCTGTCACCGTTTCTTTCTACCTATATTTGCTGAAAAGTGGAGCCCTCTAACCCTAAACCCTAAACCCTAAATAGAACCCAACAATGCAACATCCTAAACTTCTAGACCCGCCCCAATCACTTCAACCCTGAACCCTACCATCCTTCACCCTAAAGACCCCTACCCCCAACACCCTAATGGGCCTTAATAATTAGGACAGGGTTTTGGGGGTTCTTTATTATAATAGTTATGGTATAATGTGGTAAGAGCGCCTGGTACGTGACCGGCGTTTTGTGGCATAGCTGAAACAGGCAATGTGCTAAAACCTTGGGAAAACATGTATTATGACTAAAAAGTTGTGCTAGGAGAGGCGGAGAATCCCTGTGACAGGTCGATCGTTTTAGCGAAAAAGGTGTTGCCGCTGCAGTAAAAGCCACTTTTGCGAGCACCGCGCTGCGCAAACTTGGTCTGAGTGGACGTTAATATGGTTGACCCATGCATGGATGCTCTGCGTCAATGAGATCTGGTCTGAGTGGACGTTAACATGGTTGACCCATGGATGCTCTGCGTCAATAACATGGACCACCCATGGATGGTTTCGACGTGGGTTGTAGCAAGTGCCGAACACACCGTAATTACCGGTATGTTCGGCATATGACCCTAAGGAAACATGGCTTCGATCAGAACTAGAGCTTGGGCCTGCCTGCGACAGAAGTCCGCAGTTCTGGGAGTTAAGGGTCGGGACTGGCCGGAATTAGCCCCCCCCCACCCCCCACCCAAACCCGCCCCACCCAAGAAAAGTGAGGGGACGTACAGGACGCACACAAGGCGCTCTCACCTATAATGTACCCCCCCAAACCCTACTCTAATCATCAGAGCCCCTACACGAAATCGTGATAGTCACCCTTGTAGTAATCCTTAGAGGCCCCTTCCAAAGGAACCCTTTAAAGGATCCATATTCTAACTATTTAGGCCCCTTATAGTATAGAACTCTACTATAGATTCACCTAAGCCCTAAACCCTAAAGACGCCCAAACCCAACACCCGAACTTCAAACCGCGGAATTGGAGTTCCTTATTATATTTATTATTACTATAATATATGCCCCCAAACCCTATTCTAATTCTTGAGGCCCCTGCTACTATGGATCCCTTATAGTAGCCCTTAGAGGAACTCGTTAAAGGTTCCCTATTCTGATTCTTAAGGCCCCCTACATTAACTTCAAAAAACACGCGGAGAAGTGCACTGAAGAGCCACTTGGAGGATCATGGGACTTAGTAAGTAAGGTTATAAGTACCTGAATTGGGGTTATAAGTATACTTACCCTAACTATAACCCTAGTTACTAAGTCCCATGATCCTTTAAGCACAGGCCGGAGTGGCGAAGCCCATTTCGGCCGAAGAGCAGAAAGCGTCGTCAAGGCCTTCGGGTTTCGGGTTGTTTTGGCCTTCGGGTTTCGGGTTGTTTCGGGTTGTTTGGGGGGTTTCGGGTTGTTTGGGGGTGTTTGGGGTTTGGGGTTTCGGGTTGTTTGGGGTTTAGGGTTTTAGGGTTTAGGCCTTGGGGTTTAGGGTGTGATGACGAAGCCCTGGGAAGGAGGTTTTTTTTTGTTGGGTTTAAGGTTAGGGAGGGGTATGGGATCACGAAACCCCAGGATGTAGGGGGGTTTTCGTACGGTTTAGGGTGAGTTTCAGGTTTGGGATGCGAAGCTTTGGGGTGGAGCCAGTTTTTCGTAGTTTAAGGTTTCAGGGTTCCGGGACTAGGCGAAATTTTGGTGGGGCAGTCTGAGTAGTTTTCTTAAGGCCCTATCAGAGGTACCTATTCAGGAATACTGTCCGTGACCTTGAATTGCTACCTGGTATACACCTTACAAGCCCTAGGAATACCTTATAAGCATTAGAAAAATCGTGTCAGCCCAGGAATCACAGAAAAAAAGACTACCAGCCCTAGGACAGCAATAGAAGCACTTCAAGCCTTGATGGATGTTGTTGTTCTGGGAGATGCTTTTGGAAGGGGCTTTAACATCAGTAGGAACGCATAAGGAATCATGTCTAGGGAGCTTTTGTAGGCTCGTATATTGTGCCTGTAACAGCCTTCTCCAAGCCAAAGCCTGCACCACCTTAGGGCCTAACCTTAGGACCTTCTGAACCCGCCATCCAACACCATAAAGCCTGATAGTCCTTGTAGAGCCTCTGTCAAAGTTGGGTAACATCTTACATTCTCGCGGGGAACTTAATCCCAACAAGGAATAGACATTCTAATTTTGCTACTACCCCATCCCAACTAAGCCCAATAGTTAACATAACTTGTATTCTTTTGATGCTACCCCAACCATGAATTAGGAACCCTCGGGGCCGAGCTGACAGGTGCTTCCGCGTCCCGTGAGCCATTTTTCAATTCGAGCACAAGCTTCGTTCATGGCGGTTTCACCCTTCTGGCACCACCCCTGAAGCCAAACCAACCAGGCTTTGGCATTGGTCCAAGGATCTTGTGTAGGGTTTAGGGCTCAGGGTTTAAGGTTCAGTGGGATATCTGACACCCTTCCGGCAACATCAGGGAGATGCTCATCATCAGGATTCGGTCCACCGACACTGTCACCCGTGGGACCCTTGACCAGAAGTCTCGATCTGCTAGTATACCGCCGTATCAGATGTTACTGGTGCGGGCAATATGGTCCTGTATCAACTGCTGTTACACACAGGTACATGACCTCAAATAAAACGGAACCTGAGATGGAACAAGCTATTTATGCAGCGAAGCCATTGACCCACTCAGGATCACAGAGGTGTCCATAATGTCTACTCACGCGTGTCGTGCTCAACATGCCCGTCGAGGTTTGTACCTCTTGGGTCTATAGGCCCCCAGATAGGTTTAGGCGCTTAGCCATAGCCATATGCGGGAATATCGGAGCACCTGGCCCATCGTGCCTTTGCGTATGGACCTCCATAGTGTTTCGGGCATCCATGTCCTAACCGGTTTAGGGTGTGGAGGGTTTGGGGTTAGGGTCCTACGGGTTCCTGGCCTACCAAAGCCCAATACTGAACCCCAATACTAAAGCCCTGACAGAACGGTGCATGCTGATCCAGGGACTCGGGATTGCCAGCCCTAGCGTCTTTGAACCCAGGGGCAGCATGCCGCGTCCTTCTGAAAAATGACGGTCATGGCCTGCATTAGCATGTTAGTCGAATAGGGTTTCGCGGTGTATGATCGTATGTAAGGGCAAGGCAGCGGTTGTTATCTCAATAAGTATCCTTCTTTACTGAGGTTTACCGGAGGGATGCACTATGGCCGCCCTTGAAGAAGAGGGAGGTCTGTGTTGCATCGGTATTGTGGCTACAATCAGGGTACTTGCAACACGCACAAGAGAGTCGGAGGCATGCAGCTGCTCGGAACGGGGCTCATCATTTAAAGGTGCAGCAACAAGGGATGGATGGATTAAGTCTTAAGATCCCCTTTCGGCTGCCAGCCGTCCCAGCCATCGTGACTTAACATCGGCCCTGACACACACCGTCCCAGCCCCCCAAACCCTCAACAACCCTGGACCGCGCGACCATACTCTAACTGCTTGAACCCGACATCAAACCCAGAAGAATTGCGGTCCAAAGCCCGAAAGCTCAAGCCTAAGCCCCAGACCGACGCAAGCCAAATAAGCGCATAATATTGGGGCATTAATCATTACCTACACTATTTTGGGGGCGCCTTGTTTTTCTAATATAGTAGAATATACCCCAAAACCCTGGTCTAATTAGTAAGGCCCCGGTAGTATTGCCGGAAGACTGAGGCCGGAAGCCACGACGCTGTACTGCAAGGCGGCTTAGGGTCCGACATTTTTAGGGTTTAGAGGGTGTAGTATATGGAAGTTTCCAAAAACTGGGGGTACCCCATTTTGGGGTCCTTATCATGAGGATCTTACTATTCAGGGTGCTAGATTAGGGTCCCCTGTTTGCGGGAACTCCCATGTGTATATGGCGCCAAACCAAGGCTGCCCATATACTAAACCCTAGACCCCAATGCCTAAACCCTAAAGTTTAAAGCCTAAAGCCTAAACCCTGAAGCCTAAACCCTAAATCCTAGACCCTAAACCCTAGACCCTGAAGCCTAAACCCTAAATCCTAGACCCTAAGCCCTAAACCCAAGACCCTGAAGCCTAAACCCCTAAACCCTAAAGCCTAAACCCTAGACCCTAAACCCTGAACCCTAGACCCTGAAGCCTAAACCCCTAAACCCTAGACCCTGAAGCCTAAATCCTAAATCCTAGACCCTAAACCCTAAACCCTCTTCGGCAAGGCCGGCCCCGACGGCGTCTCGCTCGGCGACTGCCCGTTTACGCACTCCGTGCAGATGGCACTAGGCCCCTGCAGCCACTGGGAGTTTCCTTTAAAGGGTTACTATAAGAGTACTACCAGGGTGTCTTTAAAGGGGTCTATAAGATCCTAATATCGTAACCCCTAAATAGCAAGATCCTTGTTGTAAGGACCCCAAAGTAAGGTACCAAATGGGCTTTTGAGCATTGTGTTGATATTGGTATCCAGTAGGGTTT